CTATTGTGATATAATAAAAATAGATTGCAAAATACAAAAACAACTATGAAAAGTGCAACATATCTGACAAGTTTTAACTAAAGACATTGAAGTAAAATTATCTAAACTGAAAAAACCTTGGAGCATGGTATACAGGATGAGTATATCATAAAACAATGGATTAAAAATATCCAGTCATGAAATCAGTGAAACTGATTTGAAAATATTCATGTATTCTTTTAAAATTGTTTTACTAATTTTCAATGAAATATACATAATAATATGGCTGCAGGTTATGATCAAATGTTTTTGAAAAAACATTTTCATTGGTAAAAATGCTTCTTTCATTCACAGTAGATCAGGCATTGCTGAGAATTGAATCAAAATACCCGAAGAGACTACCAATATGGGGGGAAAAATTCAAGTAGTCTCCTTGATTCATGTGTATTTGTATCCTACCTTCATGTGGTGACTCAGATATCCGTGGTGGTTTGCTTGGCGGTGTTGGTGGTGGTGGTCGCCTTTGAATGCTTGTGTTATGTATCAGATCAATTGCATCTGAAGCAGAAAACAATAGGAATTCACTTCATTTCAGAAATCACTGTTTGTAATTGGCTGAATTAACTTTCAAGACAAAATAATAACATGACACAGTTCCAGTTGTTTCACAGTAAACACAACTGAAATGAGTGAGCAATTTCCCAAACAAATTCCCAAAATGTCAATATGTATGTATGACATAATGTGTAAATGTTTAAATGCAATCAGTCAATCATTTATACAAAATGTCTGTCACTCCGTCATTTTGAATCTAATCTGAAAACACAAGTTTTATTTGCATTTCATAACAAATCAACGAATTGATTTTTGTACAATATTGTAATCATGACTGAGCAATAATTTAAGTTTGTAACACTTTGAAATCAAGTTATTCACCTGTGCATGACCAGATTATGCTGCTGTGGTCATTTGTTACTAAGCAATGCAGTCATATTTGTTTTTATTTGAAATTCCTTCAAAACAAAAACCATTAATAGAAATCACTGGGTAAGTTTCGTTATTTGGAATACCAACAAATTTTTTGTTTGATAGCAATTCTATTCTAGAACCAAATTAGGCTTTCACTCTTGTCAGACGCCTAAATTAGTAAGAATATTTGTGGTAGTTACGCATTTTTAATGTTAAAGTCACATGACCATATATGGTTATTGAATATGTTGACTGGTTGAATGGCTATCTGAAATAGTGCTCCAGATGAGCTATTTATACATTTTTAATGAGATAACACAACCATATATGGTCATTAAAAATGTGCAATGTTTTCAATATTTATTGGTGCCCACTATATTCCCTGCTGACATGCCAGGAGATAAGGGCTGGGTTTATACGAATGTAAGGGTGTTTATGACCGGGAAAGCATTAGGACTGGAGAAGATTATCAAATTATCGATCAGTAAGAATGTACACATATTGGTAACTCACCTTTAGATTTTTTGGGGGGTCTGCCAGTCGTGTTATATTTTGGTGGTGGAGTGACCACATCATAATAGTCAGAGGCTCTGAAATAGCAAATACACAAGAAAAATGTCATGTTACTGCATCACTATCAACAGCCCTTATTGGGGGAGGGGGGGGGGCAAGGCAGGATAGCTGGTACAGTGTACAGGAAATGAAAAAGGCATTTCACGTTTTTACAGAAAATAAAATGAAAGTTCCATTTAAAGTAAAAAAAAAAATAGGTTTTTAAATTTTACAGGTAAGGCAAATTCCTAATTACATTTTTCATTTTTATACATATTTGATAATTTGTGTTCAAGAATCAAAATTGGAAATTGCGTACAAATTATGACATTTAATGTGGAAACGCTTTATACGATTACAAAAAATATTTAGTACCAATTACGGATGAATAGAACATTGGATTACATTTTACACCTTGCCCATGTCTACAAATTTACGTTTTTTTATTTATTTGGATTACGACAATAAAAACAATTGATTACATCTTATGAAAATACCCCTTACCGACCCTCCTTATTAACACAAATCTTAAAAGGTGAGCTACATGAATAACGGACTTAACTAACCCCCCCCCCCCCAAAAAAAAACAAAAAAAAACAAAACAAAAACAAACAAAACCATTATTGAGCATACTTGTTATACAAACTAAGTCGTGTTCCTGGTGGCAAGGGTTCTGGCTTCCGTGTCCGCATATTTATTACTGGTCCTGTATTCACACTTTCTATTGATAGACTGCGTATTAATCGGAAATGAGCTTCAGAATTTGATTTCTTATCAAATGATTCTTTAAAGAATGATGTAAACACAGCAGCTGTGAATAAACAGATAGTTCAAGTCATCAATGTTAGTGTATAGTTCCAAAAAACAAATCTGTGTACATTAATATGTTGTTAGAAGAAATTATTGGCAGCTAATACACTTTGCCACACACAGATGGAACAACTAGTTTTTGACACACAGATTTTCTGTGGTTAGCTATTTAAATTTTGAGGGAACTCGTTTTTGAATTTAGAATAGCCACTATAGTAGAGGTTTAAACTATGGGAAAATCACAAATTCAATGGAAACAATTTTGGGTAAATTTTAAATTTTTACTATTTTCACGACGCCCATCCTTAAAACACAAACTGGCTAACTTACCTTGCTGTCTAAATTTTGCTGATGCTGTGATGAATTTCACTTTGAGTTCATCTGCCCATTTATTCCCTTCAGTCACTAGTTTCTGAGCATCAGAGTCCGAGAAAAACATGTCAGTATCAGTTACTGCCACAATCAAGATAGGAACATGGGTCACTTTCTGAGAAAATGCTCTGAAACAAATGATATACATAAAATAACCAATAATACAAAGTACATACAATACACTGTCCGAACATCAGCTGTTCCCAAAAAACATGGATGCACGCAGCATGCACGCACACATGCACGCAATTTGATCAAATTACAAAATACCACACATCCATGGGTATAAACTTATGTACATGTACAAACTTTGAACTGAATCGGGCAATATATGAGAAATCAGCACAAAAAAGAATGAAAACAAAACACCCTGAAAAATGGTACTGGATATGTTTAATCATGAGATTGACTAAAATTGCAGTCAGTCAGCAATATTTGACTGAAATACAAATACATATATGAAGTTTGAACGAGATTGGTCAAAACATTTCAAAAAATTTCCACTAGACTAAGTTAAAAAAAAATTACATATTAATTTAGTCGGCCTCTAGGATGCCAATTTTTACTATAAGAAGTTCTCTCCCATAATGCACTGCATACATGTGCAGTAACATGCTCAGTAGTAGTGTTTGGCTTATAATTATCTTTTTAATGGTGGCACTCTTCTTGCCAACAATTAATTTGGTTCAGAGCAATTTCCTTTCTCTTTTTATTTGCGTATTATCAAGTAGTAATAACACAACATAAATTTAGCTATTTTGAGCTAGTGAGATAAATCACCTTTCTTCTTCCTCAAAAACTATATGTTCAACAGTGTTGACTAAGTGAACATGTTTGAACTCGATGCCCTGAACATTTTTGTTTCCAGAGTTTCAAAACCTGTGATAGGAACACTGTGTATGACCTTTAAAACAGGCTACATTTTCAATGATAATAATGCTATGGGCACATTAAATCAAACAATACAGATTTGAATAGTCAATAAATTTTAGTTTACATCTTGAAAAGATAATGATTCAATTGTACATAATGACATGCTGCCATAAAAATCATGACCTTTTATAGCACATAGAAACATGCCAGGAAGTTGTTTCGTCGGGTTATTGGTGGGGTTTCTTTCAAATTATTATCATAGATTACTAAAACAAATGGACTAAAAACTTCACTGTGAAAAAACAATGTAATTATTTGCTATGATATGTAACCTTACTTTAACATTGAAAACGAGGCCTTTCTTTTGGCAGAGTAAGCTAAGATGTAACCATGGTGCAGGTCTTGCTTCAGTGTTGTTGCCTGATGGTAGGATACAGCCATAACTTCAACTTTTCTTTTCTCTGATCCGAGGAATGTATCTAATGCAATGGTTTGGGCTTTGTCTGGATTGATCCAGCAGCACTGGTGGTTGACCAGTGGACCTAAGACTAGATCAGCTGGGTAGGGATCCCCACACATCATACATAATTGAATTCTGAAAAAAAATATTAGTTTATAATCAATTATTGGCAGAAGCACCACCATAATTTTTTTTTTTTTTTTTTTATAAATTCAGTTCACAGAAATCTTTTAATAGTGAATGGTGTAGTCATAGGAATGTTTTTTTTAAACATTCCGAAAAATTCAGAAAATAATTCAATTTTGGCATACATGTAAAAAAATTATCTCAGTTTTACAAATTTAAGCTAAAAAGCTGCAGAAGCATGATTAAGTTGTATTCTAAGTGAATATTGTTTGAAGCCTTTGAAATGGAAAGTCAAATGTGTACTGTAATAGTACAACTGATACGGTCTTCACAAGATATCTGCTTTGCCAATAGCTGAAAATCATCAAGCAGTACTGTAGCTTAGGTTGTGTATTTCAGCATTTCAGGATGTCAATTAGCCGTTGAATCGCTTAATTAGAATGGACTATATTACATAAAGATATTCAATGTGAAGCACTTTCAGACATGACAACTTTAATGTCTGCCCTGTGTCTGATAGGAGTCCTGTGTGATGTAAACATGTAAAGTATTGACCCTGTGTCTGATAGGAGACCTATGTGACGTAAACATGTAAAGTATTGACCCTGTGTCTGATAGGAGTCCTATGTGACGTAAACATGTAAAGTATTGACCCTGTGTCTGATAGGACCTATTTGACGTAAACATGTAAAGTATTGACTTGTGTCTGATAGGAGTCCTTGTGATGTAAACATGTAAAGTATTGACCCTGTGTCTGATAGGAGTCCTATGTGACGTAAACATGTAAAGTATTGACCCTGTGTCTGATAGGAGTCCTGTGTGATGTAAACATGTAAAGTATTGACCCTGTGTCTGATAGGAGACCTATGTGACGTAAACATGTAAAGTATTGACCCTGTGTCTGATAGGAGTCCTATGTGACGTAAACATGTAAAGTATTGACCCTGTGTCTGATAGGAGTCCTGTGTGATGTAAACATGTAAAGTATTGACCCTGTGTCTGATAGGAGACCTATGTGACGTAAACATGTAAAGTATTGACCCTGTGTCTGATAGGAGTCCTATGTGATGTAAACATGTAATGTATTGACCCTGTGTCTGATAGGAGTCCTGTGTGATGTAAACATGTAATGTATTGACTCGGTGTCTGATAGGAAACTTTTGAAACTTTAAATGATCCAAGATACAAATTATAACAAGTTCATGTGCATTTAAATTCTTACTTGATGTCTGGTTCCATGATTTCTCGGTTATTTTCTCCTCCGCTGAGACCACTTCGTATTCTAATAGTTGCTATTATAGCACGGAAAGACTGTGTTATTTGCGCATCATGAAATCGTTTGCCATGCCACAGGGGATCTTTTGGCATATCTACAAATGCACACTGTAATCTACAGAAGAAAGATTTAAAAAAAATAAAAACAGAGGTTTAAGGATAATGTAATATATTTGCAGTGTTGAACCAGACAGCTTTGTGTGGAAGTATTCATATATAAAACAAGTAATCACTAGTAAACAACACTGAAATAAGTCAATGTAAATTAGAACATGAAGAAAATGACATGAAGTATAAAGTAGTTGTAAAGTTTGATACCGTCAGTCAAGGTGTGTCAGAGATATGACTCTAGAACTGCATTTGCATTCTCCCATTAAAATGACCGCCATTCAGCCATTTTTAATCAGATTAACAAAGAAATGTGCATACATGCATGTTGACAAGATGCATAAAAAGTTTGAGCATGATCAAACCAATACATCTGTTTATCTATGACATGAATGATAATGAATATAAACAAGCAGCTTTTCGGCTGAGATACCTCTGCTATTAGCAATGCACATTTCAATTAAAGAATTGAAGATATCATCATGAAATGAACAAATCTGAAAGGTCCACCTGTAGTACCTTTATGTATAATATCAAAGCAATCGGCCTTGCGGTTTTCAACAAGAAGTCGAAAATATCACTTTTTACCAAAAATGACAAAAATATTCACCCAAGTTAGAAAATAAAATATATTTACATGAAATGAAGTCGAAAAAGTAAAAAGTTCATGCGAATGATGACAGACAATTACTCATATGATAAGCTCCACTCAACAAAG